CAATCTGTATTTTAAAGGTTGTAGTGAAAACTTAAAACAATTGTATTTGTAGTATGAAAGAATTATTGACGGAAACCTACCAAAATATTTTTTTTATTCTTAGATGGTTTTTAATTACCAACGTGCCCTTTTTACACGTAACCGGAAAAAACTAATTACAAAAAATGTCACTGCCACGTCAGACAAAAAGGCGTGTGCCACCAATAACTCAGCCATAACGTACGTTACGGCTGAGTTATGTCACGTTATGGCTGAGTTCTGGGACAACGGCTGAGTTTCGGGCCAACGGCTAACTTACGATCATAACTCAGCCAACAGTTACGACTGACTTATAAAAATCTGGTTGAGTTATAAAAATTCGACGATAAAAGGTGTAGAGTTGTGCAGATAGATGCTGAAAGAACACACGACAAGCTTGTGAAGTTGGTTCTCGATGACTACGGATTGAATGAGTTGAGCCATCAAGTAACGATGAGCTACATGTTCTCGTTATAATAATTCAGCCAAACCTCGAATTAGTCTGTGTAAGTCAACCATGACGATGGCATAACTCAGCCAAACCACGAATTTATTTACGTTAAGTCAGCTATGTCGTTTGAATAACTCATCCAAACCTCGAATTATTCTGCAATAATTCAACCATGTCGTTGACATAACTCGGCCAAACCTCAAATATGGTATATGTGAATATTTGATGCATTCATGTAATGAAAACACATTAATAATATGTAATTAACACTTTTATTAACTTTCCATATAAAAATCATGAAATTAACTCAGGTTTGAACCTTTTAAAACTTATCCAACAAAACGATAAACCTATACTTATCTTCTATTCCTACACAGTTGATCAATATAGAATGTAAAAGAGCTGTTATTGAATTTTTTTTTATTATATTATAATATATTTAATATCTACATTATAATAACCAGTGCTAATGTTAACATACAAGTGTCCCCTTAAATTAAAGTTTTAGTCATAAGTCAAGCATGAAAAGTAAATAACTCAGCCGTGACGTAATATTCTATATTCAGACACAAAACTTTAAATTATTTTAATTATTTTGTTTAGAAAATTTGAATTCAAATTTTGAATTATTTTGAATAATTTTTTTAAAACATAATACTCTATGACTTTATTATGCATGTGCGTGTGAATATGTGTACGTAATTATTGTTGGTGTTTCCCCAAAAAAAACACTTTTTGTAATCTCGAGAAAGTATATCGTAACTCAGCCGTAATGTAGCATAACTCAGCCGCAATGTGGCGTAACTCAGCCGTGACGTATTATTCTATATTCAGACACAAAACTTTAAATTATTTTAATTATTTTGTTTAGAAAATTTGAATACAAAATTTGAATTATTTTGAATATTTTTTTCTAAACATAATACTCTATGACTTTAGTATGCATGTGCGTGTGAATATGTGTACGTAATTATTGTTAGTGTTTCCCAAAAAACACTTTTTGTAATCTCGAGAAAGTATATCATAACTCAGCCGTAATGTAGCATAACTCAGCCGCAATGTGGCATAACTCAGCCGTGACGTATTATTCTATATTCAGACACAAAACTTTAAATTATTTAAATTATTTTGTTTAGAAATTTTGAATACAAATTTTGAATTTTTTTGAATAATTTTTTCTAAACATAATACTCTATGACTTTATCATGCATGTGCGTGTGAATATGTGTACGTAATTATTGTTGGTGTTTCCCAAAAAACACTTTTTGTAATCTTGAGAAAGTATATCGTAACTCAGCTGTAATGTAGCATAACGCAGCCGTAATGTAGCATAACTCAGCTGTAATGTAGCATAACTTAGCCACAATGCAGCATAACTTAGACAAAAAGTTGAAAATGGCGTTTTGTATTTCCCTTTTATTTTTTCGTCGGAAAACGAAAAGTTTCCAGCCGAGTTGAAACGAAAGGCGATACCATTGACGACGAGAGAGAGAGAGAGACTCGTCGACATGAGTCAAAGCGGACGGAAGAGACGAGAGAGAGAGAAGCGGCGAGAATTAGGGTTCTTCGCCGGAATCGCCTAGGTATATATATTTTTCCTGTATGTGAACAATTACAAAAAAAAAACCACAACTCAGCCGTAACTTACAATAAGTCATAATATAACTCAGCCGTAATGTTCCATAACTCAGCCGCAATGTGTCATAACTCAACCGTAAACGACGTTTCGTATTTCCCTATTATTTTTGTCGGAAAACAAAAAGTCTCCACCCAAGTTGAGAAGAAATGCGATAGCAATGACGACAAGAAAGAGAGAGACACACCGATAATAGGATAAGCGGCCAGAAGAGACGAGAAAGATAAGCGGCGAGAGTTAGGGTTCTTCGTTGGCTTAAAGAGAAAAAGAACAGTTTTTTCTTATTATTTTTAGTCTTATGCCTTTTCCTTGGCCTATTCCGATCTGACATAGACACTTTTTTTGTTTGCAATAAATGAAACAAAACCCGAGAATGGTGTATGAGATTTCGATATAGTGGCAAAATAACAAGACAATAATGAGATTACGAGACAGTATAAAATTTTTTAATGTGCATCAACAATTACAAAAAAAAAAAACCACAACTCAGCCGTAACTTACAATAAGTCATAATATAACTCAGCCGTAATGTAACATAACTCAGCCGCAATGTGGCACAACTCTGCCTTAATGTAACATAACTCAGCCGTAAACGACGTTTCGTATTTTCCTGTTATTTTTGTCGGAAAACGAAAAGTCTCCATCCAAGTTGAGAAGAAATGCGACAACAATAACGACGAGAAAGAGAGAGACACACCGATAACAGGATAAGTGGCCGGAGGAAACGAGAAAGAAAAGGGGCGAGAGTTAGGGTTCTTCGTTGGCTTCGAGAGAGAAAAAACAGTTTTTTTTTTTCGTTTGTGAACAGTAACAAAAATATTCAGTTTCTTCCTCTTTTATCATTAAAGACAGAATAATGATGTGGCAATTTCGGGGTCACCTTGACTACTTCCTTATCCAACAACACCCTTTTAGTCGCCTTGACTTTGATTTCTATGCTTTCAAAGATAACTTAAAGATACAAAACCATTAAGCCAAATTCTTTTTTAAGGAGATTAATTATATGCATAATGTCATATCAATAATTTTATCTACGTATGCTTCTTATATACACATTTGTATATCAAATTGTATTCATGTAATAGAAATTTATAATATATATTATATATAAAGTCATATCTCTATCTAGGATTTCTACCTTAACCTCACAAATTGATCACTGACTTTGCTTATTAGCTCTAAGTTCTTTTGGTCGTTTGATTTTATGATCCCGAACTTTGCGTATTAGCTCTAAGTTCTTTCGGGCGTTCGTTTTTATGATCCCTGACTTTGCGTATTAGCTCTAAATTCTATTGGTCGTTCGTTTTTATGATCCCCGACTTTGCGTATTAGCTGTAAGCTCTTTCGGTCGTTTTTATGATCCCCGATTTTGCGTAATAGCTCTAATTTCTTTTGGTCATTTTTCTGATCCCTCTGACTTTACGTATTAGCTCTAAGTTGTTTTAGTCGTTTTTATGATCCCCCTGACTTTGCGTATTAACTCTAAGTTGTTTCGGTCCTTTTTATGATCCCGACTTTGTGTATTAGCTCAAAGTTGTTTCGGTCGTTTTTATGATCCCCCGACTTTGTGTATTAGCTCTAAGTTCTTTCGTAATTTTTTATGATCCCGACTTTGTGTATTAGCTCTAAGTTGTTTTGGTTGTTTTTATGATCCCTGACTTTGCGTATTAGCTCTAAGTTGGTGCGGTCGTTTTAATGATCCCCGACTTTGCGTATTAGCTTTGAGTTATTTCGGTCGTTTTTATGATCCCCGACTTTGCGTATAAGCTCTAAGTCCTTTCGGTCATTTTTATGATCCCCGAAGTTGGGTATTAGCAATAAGTTATATCGGTCATTTTTATGATCCCCGACTTTGTGTATTAGCTCTAAGCTCTTACGGTAGTTTCTATGATCCCCAAGTTTGCGTATTAGCTCTAAGCTCTTTCGGTCATTTTTATAATCCCCAACTTTGCATATTAGCTATAAGCTCTTTTGGTCATTTTTATGATCCCCAACTTTGTATATTAGCTCTAAGTTGTTTCTGTCGTTTTTATGATCACGGCTTTGCGTATTAGCTCTAAGTTTTTTCGGCCGTTTTTATGATCCCCAACTTTGCGTATTAACTCTAAGTTCTTTCGATCGAATTTATGATCCCCGACTTTGCGTATTAGCTCTAAGTTCTTTTGGCCGTTTTTATGATCCCGACTTTGCTTATTAGCTCTAAGTTCTTTCGGTCATTTTTATGATCCCCGACTATGCGTATTAGCTCTAAGTCTTTCGGTTGTTTATATGATCCCCGACTTTGCGTATTAGCTCTAAGTTCTTTCGCTCGTTTTGATGTTCCCGACTTTGCGTATCAGCTCTAAGTTCTTTCTGTCGTTCGTTTTATTGATCACTGACTTTGCGTATTAGCTCTAAGTTCAGTAAAAAAAAATCATTTTACCAATTATAAATAGTAACGTGTCCAAACCACTAATAGCTTTTGTAAAAACTGTTCATTTAGCCAATTATCCCTATATATAATTATGTATGTTTATATGTTATTGATCGAAATTAAATAAATATTTTCTCATATTTGTTTATGATTTATCATTTTTATTTTTCTAACATATAGTTTTACATAATCTTTATCTATAAATATCATACAATTTAATATCTTATATTGTAAACGCCTAAACTACCTAGAATCGTCTTGTCCTTGATTAAGCGTTAGGCGTCGGATTATCGCCTAACCTTTTCTTTCAAGACTGCCTAAAATTAGAAGAAAAAGGAAGAACAAGATTTTTAGGTTGAATTAATCAAGTTGAAAATATTTGAGACTGTCTAATTTCATGGGTTAATCTGATCTGTTCAAAAGTGTAAAGCAAAATCGGTAAATAAGCAATAGTTAAAGAAAACAAAATGCGAAAACAGGAAATGTTGGAAGCACTCAAACCTCATCTCTTTCCCAAATCTGTGGGATCGTCTTTTTACTCAAAGCTTTGGTGAGTTTTCAAAAAATAAATAAATCAAAGTTTTGGTGAGTTTTCGAAACCCTTCTTCGGCAGCTTATGATCGGAGTTTGCTTTTGTAGGAGTGGTTGGTAAGCTTCATCTTCTTCCTCCTTTAAACCTCTTTAATGGTGAATTTGTTTTCAGGAAATTTTGGGTCTTATTAGAAAGCTCTTGTTCATAAGTCGAAGTTGATCGGAATTGGTTTTGGTAAATTCTTCGATCTCTCTTTGTTCCATAGCCAAATTAAAAAGTTTTGGGACCGGTTCTTAAGGTTGTGAGCCCGGTTTTGGATTGGTTTGGACAGTCACAATAAGCTCTCATTAAGCAAATTGTTGAATTATTTGAGTTTTGATTTTAAACCGATAACAATTTGGACCGGTTCGGTTGTTTTTATACCGGTTTTTGACAAATTAAAAATATTTTGGACCGGTTCCTAAGGATTTTTGAGCCCGGTTTTGGATTGGTTTGGACAGTCACAATAAGATCATTAAGCAAATTGTTGATTTATTTGAGTTTTGATTTTAAACCGATAACAATTTGGAACGGTTCGGTTATTTTTATACCGGTTTTTTGACAGATTAAAAATATTTTGGACCGGTTCCTAAGGTTGTGAGCCCGGTTTTGGACTTACTTAGGTAGGCAAAATAAGCGTATGAAATAGATTGTTGATTGGATTGAGTTTTAATCTTTAACCGATTACAATTTGAACCGGTTTGGCTGTTTTTATACCGGTATTGAGTAAACCGGATTAAGATTCAGATTTTTCCCTTGTTAATAGCTTTCTTTTGATATGTTGGTCTTAATTTTCTATGCATTGATTGAATTCAGGTTTATTAATTGGTGGCTTGGAACGTGTGATTTAATATAATGGATAGTATAAGTGAATTGCCTAATGCACTGCTCTTGAAGATACTCTCTTTACTACCTACAAAAGATGTTGTGGCAACAATGGTTTTGTCCAAAAGATGGAAACTGCTTTGGATGATGGTGCCAAGACTCATATATGATGATGATGATGATAGCTCTGAAAGCTTTCCTCGGTTTGTGGATAGGTCTTTGCTATTGCATGAGGCACCGTTTCTAGAAACTTTGCATTTCAAACTTAGTCAAAACTCAGGAGCTATTGACATCAGAGTATGGACTAGGACTGCACTTAAACGCCAAGTGCGTGAGCTTATTATCGAAATGGACTGTTGTTTTACCAGTGCAGCTCCAGTTTTACTTCCAAGGAGGATATACACAGAGTGTAACATGCTTGTGAAGTTGAAACTTAAGAATGTGGCTCTCGAGAATGTTTCTTATCCGATCTCTTTCCCATCTCTCAAGGAACTGAGTCTTTTATCAGTGAAGTATTCAGGTTGTAGTGAATTGGTTCATAGGTTGTTATCTAATTGTCCTGTTCTTGAAGACTTGGTTGTGGAACAATGTCCAGATGACAATGTGACCATTTTCACAGTAAAAGTCCCTTCTCTGAAGAGTTTAGTCTTTCATAAATCACATTTCAAAGATGTAGAGATCGCAAGTGGGTTTGTGATAGACACGCCTTCTTTGGAGTTCTTGGACCTTCTTGATTATGAAGACGGGTTCTGCCTTATTGATAACGAAATGCCCGATATTGTAGAGGCAGTTGTTAACCTCGGTTATAGTCATCTTGAAAATGTTCTAAGTTCTTTTACTTCTGCCAAGTACCTCAGTTTATGTTTGTCATCATCAAAGGTAATAATATCTTCATATCGATGTTGTTTCATCTTTGGTCTATATGTATTCCATCATCATATCGCTATATATTTTGTATTGCAGGATGCATATCTTGTTGGTAATGTCTTCGACCATCTTGTGAAACTAAAGATATGTACATGTGAAACAGAGTGGTTGAATCTTCTTATGTGTATACTCAGAGATTCTCCTAAACTACAATCTCTCAAACTTGAACAGGTATACATATATATATATACACAAACTTGCGTGTTATCGACTCTTGTATCGCTTGATTGGGTAAAATATGGAGGAACAAAAGAAGAGGAAGAGCTGATAGCATTCATGTTCAGAAGTGGAAGCTGTTTAAAGAGAGTAACTATTAATTCTAAATCCACAATTCCTAAAAGAAAGAAACTTAAGATGCTCAAGGAGTTGCCATTGTTATTCATGTGTTCACCTTCTTGTCAGCTTGTATTAAACTGAAGCTAACTATTTAGACATGGTCACAAGTTTTATTTTGATTCGAATTTTAGATAAGTTATTAATGTTTTGTTTTATCTTTGTATTTATTTATTTCTTTGTCTACGTCTTTGTAACTTTGTTGTTATGTTGTTCTTCGATTTCTTGAAAGCATATAAAACCTTGTTTGTCATAAGTTTTTTTTACAGTAACCTTGCTTTTTATTTTGTCAAAGTGATCCTAACCTCTACACATTAAACTATGCCATAACGGTAAAATAGTCAATCCAAACCTTTAAAAAAAATTTAAAATATTATAATTTAATTAATTAGTGGTACATATTTTTAGAAAATTATGGAATGTGTGCTATAATTGTCTATGAAACATATTTGATGCTATTTGTAGGTATTTCTGTAAAAAAAAAATTAACAATAAAACTATTTTCTAAATAAGATAACAATTCATACAAAAAACTTGTTAAGTATACTTCAAATATAAAATAAAACACCAAATATAATATTTGTAAAAAAAACAAAAATCAATACTAAGTTTTGTTGGATTCATTAGAGTTGAAACAATAACAATAAGCAATACAAATAAGGCATTTTAATAATTTGAACAGAATTCAAACAAAATGCATACAATAATAATAAAACTGAAATCGAGCATAGAAGCAAGCACATGGAAGCGGTGATTGGTTTCTGACACCATCTTGCTAATTCCAATAAATGCAAACTGTATTTTTAAGGTTGTAATGAAAAAAACTTAAAAAACAATTGTATTTGTAGTTTGAACTAAATGAAAACAAATAATAATGAAATGTATCAGACGCGGTTCCACCTATGACTACTTCCTTATCCAACAACACCCTTTTAGTCGTCTTGACTTTGATTAACCATTAAGATACTTAACCATAAAGCCAAATTCATTCTTCAAGGAGATTAATTATATGCATAACGTCAGATCAATAATTTTATCCACGTATGTTTCTTCTATACACATTTGTATTTCAAATGGTGACGCATTCACGTCACTGATTCATCGACATCGAGTTTTCACGGTAGATTATAGTAAACAATCCAACCGTCTAGACAACTTTAAATAATTTTTTATCACGTTGTATTAAAATCTTTTAGTATGGTAAGATGTGAAAAAAATTCAGAACAAATGCAATATTAACTACATGCAAGAGAGAAAGATAACTGAAGTTGCAAAACTGTTAGTCGTAACAGATACTAAATGGTCTACTGAAACATGGAGCTGAGCAACCGCAAAAGATAGTATATATTACTCACTACTCATGTGTTTTGGTTCACAACATCTGTGGTTCTTTGAGTTGGGCATTATCCTAATAATACGGAATGTATAATCGTTAGTTGTCAATGATCAAAATTCGCAATTCAAGTCATCAACAACTCGAATTACATGCCTCACATATGCTTTCTATAATGATCAAGTTTTAAATCTTTCACTAGCGTGATGTCTTCAACACTAATGGTTTATATTCAATGAAATGACACTGGATTTGCTAAAGATGAGAAAACATGGTCAAATAATCTTGCAATCACGCGGGAAAAGTTATTTTTGCAAATCTCCCATATATTTTCTTTAATTAAAATTTTTTAACTGATTTGGTAATCGTTTACTTTGATTTAATTAAAAATTATTAATAAATAAAAACTCATTGTAGTGTATTATTCTTTGGAACTATAATATTTCACTTACAATTTTTCCAGTTTATAAGTTTTACATATACAATCCGATATTATTTTTACTCTACCATACATATAATTTTTTTCTTCCATTCTATATCTCAACACATTAAATAATTGGAAGTACGTATGATCATTTTCAGAAAACAAATTCTTCTACAAGCTAAATTATACTACTATTATTGATAACATTATCACAATAATTTTGTTAGGATTATTAAATTTCATTTATTTTAGGGGGGATTTCAAAAATACCCCTTTTCCAATACCACTTTTTAAAAATACCCTTTTTCTAATTTTATCAAAAAATCACTATAAAATTTGAAATTTATCAAAAACATATGTGTAAACTTATATTTATAGACATAAATTATCTTTATATGTGTGTAAATTCATATATATATTTCATAAATACCGTATAAATACCTTTTAAAAATCATTTAAAAACCTTATAAAAACTGTGTAAACCTTTTAAAAACCTTATAAAAACATTATAAATACTGTTTAGAACCTTTTAAAACTTTATAAATATTTGGATTTAGTCTCCCAGTAGTAATGATGATCTCGATGTACATTTTTAACCATATAAAAGTTTATAATTTTTCATATTTGAAAAGGGGTATTTTTGAAAATGGATAGAAAAGAGGGGTATTTTTAAAAAGGGGTACACTAAAAGGAGTATTTCTCAAAAATTCTATTTATTTTATTTAATTCGTTTTTATTTAATTAATTTTTCTATAAATTAGGAGCTACATAAATATGCACTAAATAAATATTTTAAATATACTTAAATTGAAAAAAAAAACATTTGATAAGATGGATGTTGATGTGGATAGGCTAGATGTAGAGAGGACTCTTATATTATTTGTAAGGGTTTTCTTCAAATAAACCCATTAAGTCACCTTTTTGAAACTTTACTCTCCAAATCCAGAATATGCAAATCAATCCTGCAAAGTCAAAATAAATACACAATATAGTCGTTTTGCTATTATCATGTTTGTAAAATATTTCAAAATCATATATCAAATTGAAACCCTCATGACTAGAAGTTCAAATATATCTTTAGAATTTTTAAAAATGAATGTAATTGATGGTAATATCGTCTAAAATAAGGTTTGTATTGCCTATTATTATTGACTTAGTATGATTTTTTTGCATTGTTTGAATATGGAGGGTAAAGTTGCAAATGTTGACGACGTGAAGGGTTTATTTGAATAAAACTCTATTTGTAGTGACTATGTCATTATGGAAAGTGAGATAAGATAGACACACTCATGCCTTGGTCGAGAATTCTTTTATACTACATTGCACTTTCTTCGACGGATAAAGTAAGCTCACTAAACCTATTTCTAGCGACAATGATATTATATGTATATGTATACTAAATAACTAGATTTGAACCCGTGGTACACCGCGAGCAAAACTTTTTATTTTGATTTTGTTTATAAATTTCAAATTTTCTATTATGCTGGAATTTATTTAGAAATTATTAAGATTTCATTAATATAAACTTAACTAAATCAGTTTGATTCCACATGTCTTATATTGGTGTTATAAAAAAAATAGTATAATGAAGTTTTAACTCCTTTTGTAGTATAAGAATAAATATATTTTTAAATATTTTAATATCGATTCAAACATATCCCGTCATACAACCCGTATATAAATGTTAATTTTAAAACAAACAAAATTTGTAATAATTGCTTTTATATGTATTTTGCATAACAATATTAACCTGTCTTAACCCTTTTTCAAATATATATATATATATATATATACGATATGTTTACATATTAATAGTTATATATTGATATAGTAGTGGTAAAAGAGTTGCTTTTGTATCAATATAACCCAGGTTCGAAGCTTACCTCAAACATAATATTTTTTAAAGATACAATGTTTTTTTTTTGCAATAAATGTGCATTACATATTTGCTAAAAACTCTTGCAAAAATACTATTATTGACGTAGCTTAGGGGTTAAAGAGTTGCTATAATTCAACATAATCCGGGTTCGATGCTTTCCTCCAACATAATATTTTTTTTAGTAATATGAAAGGATCATGAGCTGGTCGTCAATGCTGAATAAGAAAGAAACTTTGTGATATGAATAAGAAAGAAACTTTTTTAGTGATAAATGATCATGAGCTGGTCGTCGATGCTGTTTATTTTTCCTGCAAATTTCTAAAGTAATATCTGTTACTACGCTATATATATCAAATGATTTATTTGTCAATGAAACATTATTATCAACAATATAAATATGTCGTATATCATTTTAAAAAATAAGTTTAGTATTTAAATATATAATTTTATATTGATAGAAAATATTTAAAAACAATATTTTTTTTAATTTTATTTACTTTTTAGTTACCATTAACATATTATATGATTCAGAAAAACAAAAACAAAAAACTCATTTCGAATCAATCACAGATCATGTTTGCAAATAAATAAAAGTTGTTTGAGACTCTTCTAAAAACAGAATGAATCAAACTTATGACAAATTCATAAACCCCAACCGTCGTAACCATTAGAACCCATAATATATATGGTGTTTTAAAAATCCATACTATAATAACACAAAAATGAAGAATGTATACTTGATAACTGAAAAAATAGATATCACTACTACTCCTAGTTAAAGTTACGTAACTGACCCTACTCAAACTTAATACTAGATTTCAAAAATTTACTAGCCTAAAACGTATCCTGTAATTATTTTTAAAAATGCTAAATAATTTGTTATCGCGATAATTTACATATTATCAGTTAAATTAATACTAATACTATTCATTTGTGATTGATAGAATTCGATAACACTGTTCAACTGTGATTAATAGCATTCGATAACTTATTTTTAAACATGTTAAATAATCCGTTACTGCGATAATTTATCAACCCAAACAGTTAATTACAAAATCTAAACCCTAACTACTACTTTGTCAACCCGAACCAAAATTAAATTTCGTTTAATTACATGTTAATAATCTGTTATCATGTAAACCCAAACCCAAACCAAAATTTTAAACATGTTAATAATCTGTTATCACGGAAATTTATCAACCCAAACCACTATTTAATCAACCCAACTGAAATTATATTTCGTTTAATTACAAAAATTAAACCCTAATCACTATTTGTCAACCCAAACCGAAATATAATTTCATTTAATTATAAAATCTAAACTTTAACCAATATTTTGTCAACCCAAACCAAAATATAACTTCAAATTTAGTTACAAAATCTAAAGTCTAACCACTACTTTATAAACTTAACATGCTAAATAATTTTTAGTGTTACACTTAATATGCTAAATAATTTATTAACAATATAAATGATATTGTATCGCGATAAAATTATAAGTTATATGGTAAGTTTTAAATTATTCTGATAAATAATTTATTATCGTGTTGAATTATTGTATTATATTGTAAAAATAAAAAACAGATAACGTATAAATGTTAGATTAAAAATCTATAATTTATTGATATTTATTATGTTATTTTGCTAAATTATTTGTTACCATATATAGGGATATTTTTGTCTGAAAAATTAGAAGCTAAATAAAAATTTAAGGGGTATGGATATTTTTTTTTTTTTATTTGGGTACACTCTTTATAGTTTCCCTAATATATATATAACAATATTTTTATTACCTATAGTGTTTCGTTTAATCAATTTTCCAATAAATGTACGTATCTCTTTTTTTTTTTTTCTTTGGGCAAAAATGTACGTATCTAAGTTTCAAACCGACAAGGTAGATCGATAGTACTGATGGCCAATAATAGATATGGGTGTATGTATGTGATTCAGTGTATGTATAAAATATTTTAACCGATGAGCTAATCAACTGTGTAACACATGAGATCATCTACATAAACTCGTTAGGCCATTTTTATTGGGAAAATTCTATAAAAATTCTCCATCTAATTTTAATTTGGAAGTTTAATACCCAAATGTTATTTGATTGGAAATAAAATGTATGGTTTATTAAATTTTGGTCTATTAATACATTAAGTATATAAAAATTGTCGAATCGAATAAATCGCTTAATTGGATTGACGGAATGACTAAACCGAGGTTGACGAAATCACTAATCTCTAAACACACGGGTAATTTGGGGTTATCCAAAGACTGCATTGTCCTTTGCTATTACCCCAAATCGAATTGTGATCAATAAACCCTAGTTTAGTGTAATTCTATTAACCCCGTTTAGTGTTTCCATCAATCCGATTATCATTTGTTAAGCAGTTTTTTCGATTCGACAATTTTTATATACTTGATGTATTAATAGACAACAAATTAATAAACCATGCATTTTGTTTCCAACCAAATAACATTGGGTATTAAACTTCCAAATTAAAATTAGATAGAGAATTTTTATGGAATTTTCCCCATTTTTATTGGCATATGTCCAAGGGTTTTACACCCTTTAAAAAATCAGAAAATAATAAAACAACACTGTTTTAAGAAATATCCAGATCTTATTTAAGATGTTTTTTGGGTGGGTGCTTAAGCCACATGTCATGTGGTGGGTGGTTACAATTTTTTTTTTACAATTTGCATTTAAATGAAAAATGTTTATATGCTTCAATTAATATGTTTGTATTAATTAAATAAAATGTTTATGTGCTTTAATTAATATGTTTGTTCTTTTTTATATTTTTCATTTTTATCTTCAATGTTTTTTTTGGTTATTAATAATTTAGCATTTCGATATATGTCACATCAAAACTCTCACATAACTAGTTTTGTTTAAGTGGTGCCTCTAGAACGTGGCATCCGATAGGATGGTTCACACAAAACGAACGAACCAATTACGTATGCCTAGCTAAAATAACTCTGAAAAACCTAGTTTTTTTTTTTGGTTTTGTGCAAATAAACGGGTCGTCAATTTTTACAACTCTATCTTTCATATCTGAAAAATACAAAACAATCTAACTATGTCAAATATAATACGCAATAACATTTTTATACTAAATAAATTAATGTTTTAAACGATTCTACAGTTACATATATATTATTATTATTTTGGACAAACAGTCACATATATTTGTTTTTAAAAATTTTACAGATATATTTGAACTTCTAGTCACGAGAACATCAATTTGATATATTATTTTTAAACATTTTACAAACATGATAGTAGTGAAAACGGGTTGTACTGCGTGTTTATTTTGACTTTGCAGAATTGATTTACATTTTCTGCATTTAGAAGATAAATTTGCAAAAAAAATAGCAACTTAGAGGATTTATTTGAACAAAATCCTTTTGTTTTTTGGTGGCAAACTAGTAGCTAAACGACAATTGATTTGGCTAGAGAGTAGAGACAATGCACTTTCAAATAGCAATTTAAGTAATGATAGTAACAACAAAGTTTGCAACTAATTATCCATTAAAATATTCATGGCCATAGTTTAATGCTTTAAGCTTAATTATAATTATAATATGTTCTCACAGTAATTTTGTGACCTTCTGTTGCCATACAGCTTAAATTTGCATGGATAAGATTCAATGCTTGTCAAAAGATTATGCTGAGTGGCCATATGTGACAGAATTTGCCACTAATTATCCACTAAAATATTATTCTAAGTTTAAATAGAATTTTCACAGTATTTATCTGACCTTTTCCAGTGAATAAAACAGATATTTATCAACAGCCCATATATAGTCTTAAGTTTTAACAATATACTAGATTTTAACCCACGGTACACCGCGGAACGACAATTTAAAATGTATTCTTTTTATTATTTTTGTTTGGTATATAAGAGTGTACTACTATATTTTGATTGTTAAGTTTATGATTTAACCCGTAGAATATAATATGATAATTTATTTTTTATGTAATCGTAATTTGATTAAATTAATTAAATAGTATAAAATTTAAAATATTGAAATGATACTGACATAATATTCGTTTACATAATATAATTTCATATTAAAATATTTTTGTGAGTTATACTATAGTAGACAACCCGTAAAAATATCTATAATCATAATTATGTAAATTATAACCCGTTCCATCACATGACCCGTGCTACACAATAATCAATAATACTTTAGTACATACATTTTTGTATCGTTTGAGTAATATACATCCGTTTCTAAAAATTCAAATTGCAACATATGCAAAAAAAATTATATTTTTATTATACATATGTTTATGTAATAATATAAATTTAAAAACAAATAAGATCATATAAAGATGTTGGAGAAATCTTTGATTTATTAGGGAGAGATTTTAGGAAATTTTGTTTAAATGTAATAAATATTGATTTCTAATTTTGCAAATTTATTATGATTTAATTACAAAATTTGTCTTAAACTTTTTCTATTTAATCAAATGGTAAGGATTTAATTATGCAAATATTACAAAATAAAAGGGTAGAACACAAAAGGTACTTCAAAAATTTTAATATAGATTTGTAATTTTCGTGTAAGAAAGAAACCAGACTAATGGTCTTAATTACATGTATATGACCCCTTAATTAGTCTATACGCACCTAAACATAATTTAAGACACATTTGATATGTTCCTATATGGCTCGTAATGCTACAATTCATTTTAATCATTTTTTAGGTTATTAAACTTTGATATGAAATTATGATCTATAATTAGTCAAGAGTGGTAGTGATCTAATTGTTTCCATTTGAGAAAGAATTATCCTGTAAATTTAGGTCAAGGAACAATTTAATTTTTCTCAAATGAAAAATTTATTAAATCATTTTATTTGACCAGTCGAAATAATATTATACTCTATATCTACTAAAATTATATCAACCCATTTTATTTAACCAGTCGAAATGGTATTCTACTCTATATCCACTAAAAAATTCGGTAAATAAACTATTTGACGATTATATTTAGTGTTCAAGAAACCACTAGACGGTAACCTAACTTCTAACACCTAAAACGCTCAATCGAGACGTAAATAATTTTAGACGGTTTAAATATTTGCATATAAAATATTATATATATGATAATATATATGTAAAAATATATGTACAAAAAACAAAACAAAAAACATAAACAAATATTATAACACGATGCCTATACTCATAGGAGATTAGTCGGATGTTACAAGTCCGGATATATAAATATCTTACGGTGATTTTTTTTTTAATAAATTGGCAACAATAGAACTATATATTAAACAATATATAGCTAATATATAATCAAATATGATATTAAAGAACGTACGATTCAAGTCGGTATTAAACTTGTCTCTACGATCGAACCAATTCTCCGCGGCTTTACATTGTCTCTTTCCCCTTGACCTTCCTCTCTTCACCTTCTTCATAAACTCTTATAAATACCTCCACAAGCTTCTCCATAAACATTATTACAAGACTCCAAGAAAACCTCAAGAAGACAAAAGAAAGATGAAGTGTGTGGTGAAGAAACTACTATGTTGTGGAGCTAAGAGCTTTTCTCAAAGAGCAACGACATTACCGGAAGAAGGAAGAGTCCGAGTTTATGTCGGAAACGACAGAGATACGCAGTGTAAGTTAGAGATGGATGCTGAGTTGTTGACACATCCATTGTTCGAGGAACTTCTTAGGTTATCTGAAGAAGAGTTTGGTCATTCATATGATGGTGCTTTAAGGATCGCTTGTGAGATCCAAGTGTTCATGAACTTGATTCATTACCTTAAGTCCACGAGTCATACTTCTCCTCATTACATGATGAGTACATCTCATTATCTACATTGATGAATGATCCATGCATAGAAGAAGATAGCTTCCTTCTCACGTATGAGTATTTCAGAATTTCAATTCACATTTATTCTTTTATTATGCATTCCAAACAAAGTATGGAAGAGGTTTAATTCACGTTTTATTATTTTTCCATATTTTTTTGGGAAATTGATATATTATTTGTTTAATTTGTACTAGGGTTAGTTTTAAATTCCTTCTATAATTTACAGCTTTCTTTTTTTTAAAAGTGTAAAACAAAAACGAAAACTCTACTTTTGAGTTTGGGTTTTTTTTTTTCCTTTTGATTATATGTTAAGATGTTCATCGGATGAACAAATACTATATTTTTTAATCACCAGTGATGAGATCATGCACTTCAACAATCATCCACATTGAAGGATAGCTCATTTTCCGTAACTGCTATGATTTGTTTTTGCTACTTTGTAATAGTACCTATCCCTGTTTAAAAAATCATCGTCTTGTTGTTCCGATTATTCCCTGTATAATCGCTAGGCCTATCCTATCCGATTCGATTAATGACTTTAAACATTGTGATAGAAAAATCATGAACGGAAATCTAAAATAACTTAACCCGCCAACACTTAACCAAAATTTAGGATTAAAAAGAGATAAGATAATCTAATTCTTAGTTACATTCCTTAACAGCTAATATAAAGACTTTTATTAAGAAGATAAATGATGCATGAGGCTTCCACATGGTTTGGGGACTTTCATGATGGTGTGGTGTCCTAACCAATCATTATATTTCACACGTATCCAACTGGCAGAGTTATGGAAAAAAATGTATTAAAATTCTAAAAAAAAGTATTAAAATCACAAGTTCTTCTACAATCTTTGATCCAATATTATATGTACCTCCAAAAACTGTGAGAGTAATAGAGTCTCTTAAAAATATTCTTTTAATCTCTTTCTTTAAAAACAAATGCAATTTGAAATTTTGAAATTTTTTAATGTGATATGATTTCTATAAATGATTAATTGAATAACAAGATATTTTAAATGATTTAATTAGCGAAATTACATGTTAAATAAGATTTGAAAAACTAATTTAGAAATCATTAGAAAATCTCTGAATTTCTCAATATATATGATTCTAATGATTTAGTGTAACATTATTATTTATTTAAAGATGAATTCATATAACGAATTTAGCGAGTTATAATATGTCATGTGTCAAGAAACATTTTTTTTGGATGTTCTCAATTAAAAACCCTATTTTAATCTCTCTTACATTATTATTATCTTTTATTTTTTAATTAGTGAGAGACTTTGTGAGAAAATATGGATGGACATGCTCTTATGAATAACAAAGGATTTTTAAAGAAACAAAAATCTTCATTATTGTTAATTTTTAATTAAATAAAAAATCATTTCTAAATTTACTAATGCTACCCTTACTTATAAACCATTTACAAAAATTCTGGTTTTCTTTTGGTTAAAATGTTAATTTACTATATAAAATTTAATTTTCTTCTGGTTTTCTTTTGGATGAAATTTAACTATTGAATTCGTATACATTTACTATATAATTAGCAAAAGTGTGACTAGGATTGAATTTGAATGGTATTTTCATACATGTTTGTGTTTAAGATATGTAAATAGTATTAAATTTGAAATTTTATATTTCAGAATGAGCACAACAACACGTAAAAGTATCTTTACAATGTATTAAGACAGGCCACATACACACGGCTATTTAACTAAAGTCTGTTGAGAGGAATCCTAAGACTGTGTTGTTGGTGAGTCGTTGTCCTGTCAACATGAGATATCACTTGTGGCATCGTCATCCCAACAGATACAATGATCTCTGTTCCATCAAAACAACACTAATGAATCTAATCTTTCTCATAAGAATTACAAAAATAAGAGATGAACAGCGAAAGACTAGACTGACCTATTCCTTCTCGGATTGATAGATTCGGCCTTATGATTTCTTCGCTACTCACTAGAAATACGTCTCCTATGTACAGATGATTCGTTGGTACATACACACTACACAACTCTTCTTCTCCGTGGTCCGTCTGTTACCAAAAGAAAGCAGTAAACTATCTCAATGTTCTGCTTTATGTTTTTCCAGGTGATTTGGTTACATGGGGTTTCACCATATTGTTTTGGCTCAATAACTGACCTGAAGTGTCACCGATGATGTGATAAATCCAAATGCGTATTCACCAATACGAGGATGACGGATGATTGCTACCTCTTTGAAGGCAGTAGTATTCTGGTCTGGAACAAAAAACCAAAGGTTATTTCGTTAAAAGGGACACCAAAAAGGCAGACTATATAGCAGCATACAATTACTCGTGCATCAAATCATTGTCCCAGATTCACATGAATATGCTTGCATTTTTGCTAGAAGAAAAAAAAAGGAGGACATTCTTTACGTTCTCTCTTGCACTTTGACATATATTTGGAGAAAAGCGGTAAATATTTGGACACCAGAGAGAACTAACTAGTGTAGAGATAGAAACAGCTTACATATGTTCAAATCAGACATCCTTACCCGGAGAAATTGCAGTACTGATTTGTTTAGAAGCTGAATATATGTGCTTCACAAAGGGCATTCGCCTTATAAACTGCTCGCCAAGCCAGAAAACCGTAGAACCCAGCCATGAAGAAGCAAATATTCCAACAAAGAAAGTGAATAGTACAGATGTAATGAACCCAAGTCCTGCCACAGACAAAGAACAAATTAGAAGATAGAATATATTGTCTGATATTTAACTCTTAAACTTTAAGGAAAGTTAAAGAGATGAAATGAAATGCTCATTCTAATACATTGTCACAACTATTAAGAGTTAGACTGAACAATTAAACCTAGAAATCTGGTAAACTATGGAAGTAGTGTAAATCAAACTTGTACACCTCAGCTTGTAATCTTTCTACATCAAAAATATCCTCTGTTTCCAGCTTCAATAAAGCACGTAACATTACCATAAAACATAGAAGTTAAACACACACAGATCTCCTAAGGCAGAGTAATCTTAATAAGCTTTCCAGGCTTACCAAATATGTCAACACCAAGGTTCTCGTAAACCGGACTGAAGAAACCATCAACGAACTGGACAAACCACCAAGTGATAAGGAACGTAACAGCAACAGGAAAGAGAACAACACTGCCACACACCCAATCATATAAAACACAGTTGAAATAACTGTAAAATTCGATAAACAAAACTAGTGGTAAGAGTGATTTACAATCCAGTCATAAACTTCTTCGACACCCAACTCTGTAAAACCCCATAGCAAGCCTGTTCAAAACACAAAAGAGTATACAAACAGATCAGAAAAATCCTCTAGTTAACACAAACAGATAGAGTAATCAGCTTAAGCTCCCTAAAGGATCACTTGTAAACGTCAATTCAACAACCAGCATTAATCCATCCAATAATTCACAACACCACTCGTAGTTTCGCTACGATCTTCACAGTGACAATAAGATAGCTATCAATAATAAAAATTCTTCTACAGTTCTCTTACCAACCCAAAACTAGTCACGAGTAAGCCTTGCCTCAATAAACATCTCAGTATAAGTTGAATTAAACACAAATAGATAAAGTAATCAGCTTAACCTCCACAAGCCAAAGCTTAGACTCCATTAAACATCACTTATACATCGAACTCGAACCCTACAAATCTCTCAACGAATTCAGAAAATTGACTAAATTCTACTCAAACTTCTATCAAGAAACATCAATTTTGGTTGATTCACATCGCAGCCACTCATAGTTTCGCAACGATCTTCACATTTTCCCCAAAATCACCACACTGACAAGTACGAAAGCTAAAATTCAACTCCAAGAGCAACGAAATCGAAGTAAACGAGTAAACACAGAACCAGAAACAATGGCGTCGTTTCAAAATCGGCGAAGGAATCGGAAGAGACTTAGTAATACCTTACGAGTAGAAGAATTAGGAGAATTGGGAGGAGAAGACTTGGGAGCATCTTCAAGGTCTTGGTGAGGAGTGAGGCCTTGACTAAGAGAACTCGTCGTAGCTTCTTTGTCTTCCGCCATTTTCTCCGGCGACGAGGTTGAAATTAGTCAGACCAGATCTCTGATTTTTATTTTGACCTTAGCGGATCTTTTGGGTCTCTCTACTGATGTGAAATGACCCTTTACGTAAGCTATACTCTCAGTTTGATCATAAGATCCAACGATTCGTAGTGGAACACGTCATCTATCTATATCAGAAAAATATGGGGAAATTCCCAAACATGACTTATTTTAAATTTGTCACAAAAATATACAATTTTTTTACACGTCAAAATAATTTATACTTGTTGATACGTGAATTATTCTGATTTTTGTATAATCCCGTTGATTCTAAATTCAGTTTACAAAATTTACACAAACAGATTAGCATAATATGTGTAAAATATAGACATATAGTCATTTCAATTTTCGTCGATGAGCTTGAATATTTGTGGTTGTATGCTGATATAGCCACGAATAGTCACCAAAATAAATCATGATATAGCCACAAATTAGTCACTTTTTATCGTTGCTGAATTTGGTCATAAAATTATATATTTTGTGAGTTTAAGTAAGCAACGATATGAATAAACGGCATAATCATGGCAAGTTGACAACCAATTTTTTGAATATACGGTGACAGTGGGTTCCAACTTAAAACCAACTGAAAATGAGCGGAGAATATAATATATCACGATAGGTATATTAAAGATGTTAACCTCACAAATAAGTGGATTTCGTGAGTTTTTCCGTGGTGGATTAAGGGTTTAATGTGTGTTTGTACGCGGGTTGATATGCCCTGTTATTATTTACTGATAAAAATATAATATATACTTATTAATAGATGTTAGTACATAGTTAATAAGTATAAATTATTAAAACATGTGGTAATTAACTAAATCTGCTAGCCAATCCACAAATGCACTTACATTAGTCAGACATGTTTGTGTTTCATATATGCTACCACAGATCAAACGAGTCACCTTATCGGTAAATATTATTCACCCATCACAAGACAAACCTAATGGGACGGATGGGCAAACATGTCTTAACAGCTCTGTTACAAATGCAACAACTAAATAACTATATATACAATTTACAACTATATATACAATTAGCAAGAAAAATATAAATAAAAAGCTTTTTAAAATATAGAAAACTCTGATAAATCATAATTTATCTTATGAAAAAAATGTTCTTCTGCGGTGTACTAAAATCTAGTACTAGTCATGATCGTAGTCAACTTTCAATGTGGGATATAGAAAACAGCTATTTAGCGACTGCATGTTGCGACTCAAGGTGTAGTCGCTAAATATTGCGACTGAATGGTCGTTGTCTTGTCACTTAATAGCAACGAAAACGATTTCGTCGGTAGTTTCAGACTGATTTTCATTGTCGGAAAATAGTCGCTAATGAGCGACTACATTTGGCGACTGTTGTTGTAGTCGCTAAGTGTAGCGACTACTTAACTACATATTAATGACTCTTTTTTTAATTGGGCCTCCGACCCAAATTAATTGGCTATGGGCTAGGCCTGTTTTGGCCCAATCTCTCTTTTTCTCTTGACACCCACTCTAAACGATGAACCCTAATTAACTCATTCTCATCCCTAATCTCTCTTTCTCTCTCGATCTCTCAGTTCTTCGATTTCTCCATTCTCATCCCTTATCTCTCTTTACCTCTCGATCACTCTGTTCTTCGATTTCTCCGTTCTAAGAACCCTAATCGCCTCTTTCTCTCGATCTCTCTATTCTTCAATCTCTCTGTGATTAGAACCCTAATCGCCTCTTTCTCCCTAATCGCCGCTTTCTCCCCAATCAGCCTCTGTCAAATCTGATGCCTCTAAGAAAGAAGAATGGCGGCGGAAGAGCAACGCGAAATAACTCAAAGCAACTGGCGACTGTTGGGGCTTCCCAGAAATCGAATCGGAGACCTAAGGGGCTTCCCAGCCAGTACACCTTCACACCGATGAACCCTCATGGCACAACAAACGTTTCTCAGGAGAGTCATGTCCCCGTTTTTCAGCCTGCAACGAATCCTACTGTCAGAGACTATCCTCCTCCGAGGAATCTTTTCCAGCCTGCGAGGAGCTATCCTGGTGCATCTCCTGCTGATGAAGCTCGAAGAGGTGGTCCTCAACATCTCGCTTCTACATCGAATACACCTCCTCTCTCGAACCAGCCTTCAGTGTTCAATCAGCATGTTTACTCGAATCAACCTCGACCCTCTTCTCAAGCGCGAGGCTCTATGTCACACCACAGTTCTCAAGTTCAAAACTCACATGAGGAAGAAGATGATGAATCTGGTTCTGAGGAAGATGCTGCAGCAGAACCAACTCTCCCAGAAGATCAGCTCGCTACTTTATATGAGCTGCTTCGCGTGCCAGGCCGTGAATTGTATACGACTGTCCTCTCTCCCAAGTTGGAACCTGGAACAACTTGGTAAGATTCTTTGAACTTGAGTGCTTTAGTGTAGTGTCTGTTGAGTGCGATAGTGTAGTCTCTGTGATGTTGATTGTATTTCTAGGTATGCCTTGATATCAGAAATGCATAGTGTAGTCTATATGATTAGTCTCTGTAGAGTTGAATAAGATTGTGGAGTCTCTATGATTAGTCTCTGTGACTGTTTGACTTGTGTTTGTATGCTTTTGTGCTTGTAGGTTTGGTAACGACAGGTCAGCACTTACCCGGAAGATTACAAAGGTTTTCACAAACAAGTTTGATGGGCCATTTTACAGTTGGGGTTGTGTGCCTCTGAAAAAAAAAAAAAGAGATACTTCCTTGAATTTGCGGTAATGTACTTTCTCCTATCCTAATGTTCTAACCTTTCTGTTACTCACAAGCATTAAATTTGAATTGATATGTTACAATTGATGGTCTTCTTCTCACCTTAATATTGTTTTAACATTTCAGGAAGTGGAATTGGGAAGACCTCCAACTATTGGTGAAGTTTTTATCAGGACTCATACCAAAAAGGATGGAACATTTGTTGATGAGAAAGCTCAAGAAGTTCATGAGGCATATAAGAAGAACAAGGAAGCTAAGTTGGCTGCACTCGAGAATGAGGAGACTTCTGACGGTACTTCACGTAGATCAAAGCTATCTCAAGAGGAGGATGACGAGATCTTTCTTCAGGTAATGTACTGATTTTTCTGAGACTGTATGTTTACTTTTTCATGAAAAATGTTAAAGAATAGATTTATGATATTGTTTGTTGCGAGTAGCTTTCTGAGTTTTGAAAATTTTTTTATGCAGTCTACTTTCACTAATGATAGAGGAGCATATTTTGGAGTTGGAAGCCTAGGGGATTACATCAATGGGAAGCGAAAGTACCCGGGAAGCACTTCTTCTTTCACAACAAGCCTGCACCAACAGCTTGAGGAAGCTACTCGGAAGATGGAGGAACAAGCAGCTATTCAAGCAGAGCGTGAAGCAGAGGCTTCACGGGTTTTAGTTGAGCAACAAGCTGAGATCAAGCACTCGAAGCTGGTGAAGAAGTACTTGAGCAAAACTGACCCCAATTTCCTTGCTTTCATCAACTCTGAGTCCTCTGCAGATGAATAGGTTCCCTTGCTTTCCCTCCTACTAGAACTTGAAAGAACTTTAAAACATGTGGTTGTTGTATTGTGTTTAAACTTGGTTGTATGTGTTTGAACGTGGTTGTTATTTTGTTGAATATGAAAACATGTTTTGTGTTTGTGTTGAATGAAAATGTTTTAAATACACATTTTTTTTTGTTTTAAAAACAATTGTAATTACAAAATCAAATTTAAAAGCATCCTAAATCGAGATTCCAAATCAATTCTGTCTCAAAACAATAAAAATTCACAGTAGCAAAACAGTCGCAAAACAGTCAAAATGAAGTCGCATAATAGGCGCAAATCAGTCGCGCAAGTAGCGATTGATTTGCGACGTCATAGTGACCAATAAAATATGTCGCAACACAGTAGCTATTTAGCGACGCATGGTTTAGCGACTACGTCATTACGTCGCTAAACAGTCGTTCTAAGGTACTTCTTAGCGACGGAATTATGACTGTTTTTGCAGTCGTTAATCACATGTTTTCTTGTAGTATCCCAATACGTCTCCTCGAGATGATGGCTCTTCTAGCCATAAATCTTGGTATGTTCGTGCATGAATTGGTGGGTTAACTATTAGGCCGGAGTGATTGTAGATTGGGTTGAGTATGTGCAGATCGGGCTCTGATACCATATTAGATTGTGGGCTTCCAACTTAAAACCAATTGGCAATGAGTGGAGAGACTCATATATCCTATATACTAGTCAGTATCATACTCAATCTTCAATGTGGGATATTATTATCCCTAATTGTATATATGTAGCTAATCATGTATATATGGCTCGGAGAGGAACCCCAAAACGAAGAGGCATCATCTTTTTTATAGAGTAAGTTTAGGGTATTCTCCAAAACGTACACTAAACCGCACAAAAAAAAAGAGAACACCAGTATCAATAAACCAATAACGACCCCTAAGAAATATACACGATATATTTTTCCATTACATCCTTGACCAAAAAAAAGAATCCAAGGCTGTAATGGAAAAATTTATCGTGTATATGTCTTTAAATCCTAATATAACTCCACAATTTTTAATTTGCTAAAATTATCATCAATAAATATATTAAATCGAACCTTCGCAGTGAGAAACCTAAATATATCCTCATAATTTAAAAACACTTATATATGTGTGTGATCATATAATCTAACTTTCCAAATTAATGGCAAATTACAACAAAAATTATATATATTTTACTTATTATATAAAGCTTGCTTTTCAAAGTTATTAGCTCGTGATCATGACATGTGTCAAAGAAAATATATGAAAATAGAAAAATATTTAATCCTATCAAAAAGATGAAATAGAAAAACAAGTATTATTAGAAAAAATTGTATATTCAAAAAATTTTATTAATAAACTAAACTATTAACAAAAATTTTGGTTATGTTGGTTTGGATTTATCAAGAGATTAAGGTTTAGTATTTACAATTAAACGAGATTATGTTTAATTTTTACAACTAAACGAGTTATATGTCAGTTTTGAATATAAATAACGATTATGGTTTAGATTATAGAAAATAAGTATTATAAAAGGTTCTTTTGTATACTAAAAAAATACTAAGAAATTGAACTATTAACTTAATTTTGATTATGTTGGTTTGGTATATCAAGCGATTAGGGTTATATTTTTCAACTAAATGGATTATAGTTTGGTTTATAAATGAGGATTATGGTTTTAATTAAACAAAATTATATGTCGATAATAAACATTTTCATTAGATAATGTAAACATTATATTAAATAAATGAGATTATGGGCTTAATTAAATAAATATTTTTAGTAATGATTTTTTTAACATAATATACTTTTAATTTTTATTTATGTGTGTAACACCCGTGTCTGAAATTTTGGTGTTGTCGACCGACACCAACAAAATTAGGTTAGACGGTTTAGCTTTTAAACCGTCGGTTTAATTGGAATTGATTAGAGAAACCCTAGACACGACTTTAAACTCGTGGAAGCAGCCTTTCTTTCTCACTTTTGGCCTTTGTCGCTTCTTAAAAACAAAAGAGAGAGAGAAGGTTGTGAGTTGGTTGTTCCTAAAGCTTAAGAAGAGGCTTGTGAGGGTTTTTGGAGGTTTCTGTGGCAAGTTCTGGTGAGTTCTAGCAAGGAGAGGGTTGGATTCGTGGCTTGTGGTGCAAGGAGGGTCTTGTTGATGCGGACATCAGAACTAGATCAGACCAAGAGCACACCAAACCGGTATACATGGAGAATTTTGGAGAATCTTTGTCTAAGTGGAGTTCTGATCAAGTACAAGGTGAAGGGTTAATTATTCACCATGATATTAACCCTAAGAAGTCCGACAGTTCAAGAGGGATCAAAAATCAGCAAGTCAAATCACCTTACTATTGGGATATGACTGTTGCACTCTTTTTCCCTTATCTAGGGTTTGTCCCAATGGGTTTACCTAGAAAGGTTTTTAATGAGGCAACATCAAGTCATCAAGGAATCATTCACCATCCATATGATTCAAAGATGATAGCTGATGTACATTCTGATCTACTCGCGGACAAGCATGCTGAACTACTCGCTGACAAGCATGCTGAACTACTTGTTGACCGACTGAACTACTCGCTGACCGACTGCCTGAACTACATCAGATTGCGAGCTGTGAGGATTTGAAGTCTTTTAACACTTGGATCAGCCATGAAGGTAGCCAACACAGTCATTTGATTCACTACAAGGCCCCAGCCCATGGAGAACATCCCAAGAGAAGACCCAAGTCCAAACCACCCTTTGAATCAAGGTAGTTGATCTACTTAGAGAGATATAAGGAAACTCTCCTTTACCTTCATATGGACGTGTCTCAAAGCTACATTTGGAAACCAGGAGAAACTCTACAGCAACCAGAGAATATTAGGAGAATATTCACGCACAATAATAGTCATTGGATCAGGAGGATTCAATCATATTATTACTCGCCTTGTTTGGAGTCGATCATCATCAATGCACAACGACTCTTTCCTATTAAGTTCATGTGAGTGATACAGCATCTCCAAGTGCACAAGAAGCTTCCAAGGCGTCACTATTACCTTCCCAAGTTGACGAGATACAAGGCACACCTCACTTGCCTTACATGGACCGATTCTACACTTTATGGTCCAACATCTATATTTTCATTAATTGTTGCGATTTGTTTCTTCTTTCTAGGTTTAGAACGTGTGAACTCAGCCTATATAAGCTGATCATTAGTCTCATTGTAAATTCACCCTTGATCAATTTAAAGTAAAAGAAAGTTTTATTCTTGTCAAAGTTTGAGTCTTTGTCATTGTTCTTCATTAGTCTTAAGTGAGCGAGTCTCTTAAGTCTATTGGAATCTGCGG